CTAACGTTGCAGCGGTTCGAAAAAAAAAAAAAAAAGCGTTGGAAGAAGTGTGGTCAGGAAAGTGAGAGGGAATGAACTTCTGTCCAGTAAGGAAATTGCATACGCCTGCATCGCAAACAAACCCCTTAGGAGTTCAGGGTTTGCTAGCCGTCGAGCTTCCACGATGCAAGTATGCGGCTGCAGGTCAAGGTTTGTTGGTAGTAAGAAGGGAAGCCTCCTCAGTTAACTATGCAACCTGGAAGGCATCTAAGCTATGCAATCCCAAGGCTCTGAGCAAATGCGTTCTTGACCTGCTCGTCCACCGCATGGTCGCAAACCACAGCCACACCTGCACTAAGGATCTGAAGGATAAGGCCCTTCTTTTGCTTACATCATACACATCTAAGTTTGCAGTCCGGAGATCTACACGGGTAGGAAACACGCTCTTCGCAAGGGTGCAGTGCATCGGCTCAATACATAGCGGCAGCGGAATCCTTGACCTACTCCACTTGCCCACTTTAAGTCCAAATCGAAATCTCAGTCAGCACGCCCGAGAAGGTCCGTGCTGGGCCATGTTCAAATCGGTTTCGAAGCCTCCTCAGACTGTAAGTCTAAACCCATGCTGTTGGCATGGTTGTCAATAGCTTACAGCTATTATGCAGAAGCCGAAACTCTTGTAAGTTCGCTGGTATTGATCAAGCCGAGTGAAGGGTCGAAAAGGTTTGATCCAGGATGTGCCTTCGCCGCCGGCTCGTGTGGCCAGCGCTGCTGTTGCTTCCACTGCATCCTTGCGCCGGCCTGTGACCTTTTCTGCTCAAATTACCCGGGCTGAATTGGCAAGGAAAATAGTGATGGCATGCATAGAAGTCTAGAGACCAGGGCTTCGAAGCAAAGTTTGGACAGCAAGCCAACTTGACAGCTTGACACCCTTTTAGCAACTCCAAAGCCGTGCCGCGAAGACTTTTGCGCCAGCTTCTCCCAACGCAACCGCAATGCCCTGTGCAGGTCTCTGCGGCTCAGTGAGCCACGCTCAAGACGGGTTATCCAAGCTTGGGTCTGAGGATATCTAAGGGGCAGGGACTTTGCTGGGGGGCGTGCTGCTCCCTTTGCTCCATACTCAAGTCTGCAAGGTAAATGAAATCCATCCAGAAACTTGCATGTCTTCTCGGTAGAGCTGTCGCATGGTCCGAGCTCCGCCTTCCCAATGCCTCTGCTGGCGCCTGTGACCTCGGCTGACGAGCTTTCTTCCTGAAGCCTGGAGTTTACCTGCATTGGCGATAGACGAGAAGTGCAACACAACTTTGTTACACATGTGCACAGATCTTCCCCTGAAGCTACCCATGCGGAGGACTCTTCTGAGCATTTGTTCGCAGTGATTTTGGAAGTGTATGCGTGTTAGACACCGAAGCCACCCGGGCCAGAAGAAATCTACCAGCTCTGTACCACTACAAGCATCATCTGCTTCACTAGACGGCTTTTATGGCTTTAGAACTGCTAGGCACGCTTCTTTGACAAAGAGTCCACGGCGGTTCTGCCCTGCAACCGCCGTGCGACAGCAGCGGCCGCAGCTGAGGGGCCCAAGACCAATCCTAGATTTTTGACGTCATGGTCATGCCTCTGCAGAAACTGCCACCACCTTTACCTATAGCAGCAGAGTATGCCTTTGAGCAGCATCCCCATGACATGCCAATTCCTGTGTTGCAAAAGTATTCAGGTCTCCAGGCTCCAAAAATTCACCTGCGTTCAAACTCGCAGCCCTGATCAAAGCACCAGGAGCCCTTTGATAGACCCCTGATGCCACATCCTGTCCACACTTGGTCCAGAATGCACTGATGGTCTGTCGGTTGTCAACCACACCCGGATCGAGCAAGTGCATAAATCCGTCAAAGCCATTGGCCTCTGGGCTTGCCTGAGATTCCCATTAGGTTTTTCAAATGCCCCCCCTGGGTTTCCAACTCACTACAACATCATCTTAAGCTTTGCCTCGCACGCTCTTTAGCTCGTCACCACCTCTCCGAGGCTTAAGTCTGGACGAGCCAGCTGAATACATTTCGTTGATTCCATGAGCTAGTCGCACAGGTATCTTGCCTCCAAAAAAGACCTTTTGGAAACTGTCAAAGGGAGTGACATGCAACAGATTCTGAGGCATTACAAAGGACGGCCCCCTTGCATAATTTACGCAGCCATGCTCCTTCTGATGCTTCTGTTGTGCTACGCAGTTGAAGGTGCTGTTCCCCACGCTCCATCTTTGCCATGTCTCTGACAGCTCTGGGTGCTGGCGACAGCGCACAAACAAAAAGCCGACACGAACCCTGTAGCTTGCTAGGACCTGGCCATCGCCAGATGATGTTCGCTTTCTTGTAAGATCCATCTCGCATGGTGTCAACTTTCAACCAAACCTTTCAGCTTCGGTCTGCCTCGGCACAAAGATCCGGCCACACAGACCCCACACGCTTCATGGCCGAGGCGACCAGGCGCGAAAGCGCTGAGAATCCCTTTTCATCAGGGTGCCAAAAGGAAGGTGCTTTTGTTGCTTTTTCACTCTCTTTGTTGAGCTCAGAGGCCCAGAAGGCATTCCAACGATCTTCGTCGGCTCTTGGGTCTTGGCTCATCCTCTCCGGACAATCAAAACTCAGGGCTTCAACCAGGAGGAAATGAAAAAATGCAGGCAGCAATTTGGCAAGAATCCAGACGCTCAAAAAGAAACCGCAAGCTGGTTGAAGGGGATTTGATGTGTAACCATATAGCGAATCTTGAGCAATACTGACGACTCTGAATACCTTCAGCCTCGTACCCAGTCGTGGCAGCATGCCTCCACTGCTCGATGCCAGACTTGCAGGCGCAGAGGACTCTGAGGCCTTTGAGGGCTGATGCTGGCAGATATCTGGACTGGCGGGATCCAGCCCCAAGCCTGGCTGTGCTACGCGGCGAATACGGCAAATGCGACAGTGAAGGGGCGAACACGAGCGACATGGCAAGCTGATGAAAGCTTTGCAGCTTCAGATATACACAGCCATCAACTCAGTACACATTCTCAGGTTGAAGGCATGTAGAGTCGGCGTTGGCAAATCGGCATCCTTAGAACAACACTCGGAATGTTCTGAACGTTGGCGCTCTGAGCCGTAGCGGCTCTTTTTTCAGGCATGCAATCCTGCTAAATACCTGCCGGGTTACAGGCCACAAGCCAAGCAATAGCATGCTACGTTGGGAACAGAAATGAAGAGCAATTTTGCTTCACGACGGAAGCTAATCGGCGGGTAAGACCGAGGCGAGGCGTTTCGGAACTTGCTTTGCAGGTCCAAATGTCCAATGCTTGCTGTGACCACAGTGCCCCCACTGCAGTCATGACTTTGTTGGCAGCGAGGCTGCTAAGCAGCTGACGCGATGCCACCAGCTGGACACGGAGTTTCACATCCAGCTTCCGAATGTTCAAGGATTCAAGGATGAAGGAGAGGTCATGGATGAGAGTTGGTCAAGGCTACGAACTGCGAAACAACTCCAACATCTCCAAATCCCAATGTGAGATATGCTACCTACAAACTACCCTCCACTGATGGATATTCCACGGGTGGAGTCGGACCACTTTAAATGTTAAAAACCGTCAGCCTGCTGCTACCTCAGCTTTCTCAGCTTTCTCAGCTCCTCCAGCTCCTTCTGTTGGCACTGCCCCTTCGGCTGCACCCTCTTTCACCTCGCTCTTTTCAGGCTGGCTGCTGGGATCCACGGCACCAGGACCTCCACAAGAAGTCGCGATCCGCAACAACAACAGCAGCAGCGTCTTCTTGCTTAAGCAGCCCGAACAACTTTGCAGGGCAAAACTTATCTAGTGGGTCAACTTGAGAGACCACGCGGCCTGCCTGGCGCATCGGA